GCAAGCACCAGGCTTAGATATGACAGATACTCCAATTACACAGAGCATTTAAACTCTAATTAATATGTAAACAGTGCTAATAGGAAATAGCAGGCAATATGCAAAACTAGGTAGGAAATGTAATTAGAGATGAAAACTCCAAGGAAGAATCAAAATAAAATGTTAGAGAACAAAATCACTCTTAACTTAAATGAAAAATATCTCCAAAGGGGTTATCCACATAGTAGACACTGCTAGTGAAAGAACAGGGAGCTGAAAAATAGGTCAATGAAACTTCTTCCAAGAAGAAATATGGGAATGAAAAAAATGAAGCAGGATATCCAAAGAATATGGGACAATTTCAAAAGGTGTGTCATACATGTAGTGGGAGTACCAGAAAGAGAAGCAGTGCTGAAAACTATTTGAACTAATAATGCCCAAGAATTTGCTAATGTTATGGACCCCAACCCATGTACCTAGGATGCTTGAGGTCATTATGCAAGATCAATGCCCCAAACAAACACACAACAGAATCCGAGGTGTGCTGTATTGAAACAACACACAAAGCCAATTGAAAGAGAAACGCTTGAAAGAAATCAGAGGTAGGGAGGGACATGTCTTACCTATAAAGGAACAAAGCATGAATTGGGATGGATGTACTGCAAGGAACTCACCAACTACAGCCCCACTTTCGTGAAACTCTTCACGAAAACTGGGGCAAAAACAAAGGCTTCCTCACAAAAAGACACAGCAGACAAGCACTACTGAGTATGTATGCACCTAATCAAGGTGCCAAAATACATGAGGCTAAAGGGCAAAAACGACAGGAGGAATAGACAAATCTGGTGTGACAGACTTCAGTATGCTTTCCAGAAATGTGTAGATCAAAAGGCAGAAAGTCAGTCAGGATTCACTTGCTATAAACAGAACTACCAATTAACTTAACTGACATCTATAGAATCTTTCCCGCTACAACAGCAGGATGCATGTCTTCCTCGGCTCACTTAGGACATTGTGCATTTACAAGTAATCCACAGCCTGGGAGCCCGAGGTCCAGGGGAGGGTAGCATATCCCATAAATGTTAACCCAAAAATAAAGCTGAGTTAACTATGTACACCTGACTGGACATCTGACTACAGCAACCCAACAACACATAACACTGTGTTATAATCTGGAGAGTTTCTCTTTTTGTTTGTTTATCTTATAAATGCCTTTGAATGAAGGCATATAATTATACAGACTATCATCTAGAAATCAAATTTAAATAATAATTAGATTACTTGATATAATCCTATCCATATAATAGTCAAAAGATTAGGGATTCTGTCAATGTTTTGAAACTCTGTGTTGTGGTAAGTCCTTCCTAAAATGTTTAATTTTCCTAAGTAAATTTCCTAGGCGAGTAAACACATGTGTGCTGTGTAAAATGTGCGTGCTACTCAGCACTTCCACATCCAACCCCTGACGTAATAAACTGGGTTCCTTTTTAAAAACCACAGTATTTGGGTTTGTTTGTTTTTTATTATTTAGGATTTTCAATTTCATTAATTCCTGTTCTAATATCTATTCTTTGCTTCTGCTTGCTGCAGGTTTAAGCTAGTCTTCTCTCCCCAGTTTGATTTTGCATCTTCTTCTCAAATACACGCATTCGAGGCTGCACATTTTCCTCCAAGCGTCACTTCTGCTGCAATCATATATTTTGACCATTGCATTTTCATTTACTTCAAAATATTTTAAAACTTTTTCTTTGGTTTCTTTTTTCTGACGTGTGTTTATGAATGTTTAAGAATATGTAATTTGATCCCCAAATATCTAGCAATTTTCAGCTTTTTGGTAACTGATTTATGGTTACTTTCCACCATAGCTGAAGGACACACTCTGCATAGTATCCATTCTTTTCAGTGTGGGAAAGTATGTCTTGCACTGGAAGGGTGTCTATGTGAAGCAGCTGCCACCTGAACTGAGCAGCAAGTCTCATCTGAGTTTCCATGTTTGTCACATGTGTCTTCTTGCCCACCCCTCACAACTGTGCCAACTAGTTCCTTAAAACATCATCATATTTTCATATGTATACAGATACCCAAACCACACACACACACACACACACACACACACACACACACACTATTGGTTCTCCTTCTCTGCCAATGTGGCAGTGGTTAGGGCCAACGATATGGCTGAAACTACAGCATCACGAGACTCAGTAATAATAATTTTTCTCATCTGATATAAGCAGCAAATGATCTAAGTATCTTTTCACATGTTGTATGATGCAAGCAGTAACTTCTATTATAATTTCATCTTACCACTGAATAAAGAAATCACATTGTCTTTTTAAGCATTTCAAGATATATACTATACATTCACATGCATCTGCAACCTAAGGATTACACTTTCACTAAAACCTTGTAATGTTTTATGATCAACATCAATAAATTTTACAGTTTCAGGTGTCAAGCCACTATGCTAATGTAACTATGCACTTAAAAACTATCAAAATAATAAAACAATAAAGATAAACATTTATTACTACGATATATTCACTATGTTAGGTGCTTTACATAGATCATATCTTTGAATATTAAAACAACTCTCATGTCATTAAACAGAGGAGGAAATTGAAATTTAGTACAGGAAGGAACTTGGCAAAAGTCAAAACAGCTGGTAGGGAGTTGGGATTGATTTTTTTTTAATGTATTTGGTATAGGATCTCACTGTACAGCTTGGACTCCTAGTGATCCCCCTGTTTTCAGCCTTCCCAGCACTGAGATTACAGGCGTGTGTCACCATACCTGGACTGTGTCGCGGATACAGCATGTGGTGCCAGGATCAAATGCTGGTCCCTGCACTTGCCAAAGTACACACTTAGTCTGCTGAGGTATCTCGCTGGCCCTGGGCTTGTTTTAAAGTGTGCACTCATAATTGTTTTTAACTAAGGCATGATTTTACCTGCATATAAACCATTCTATTTTTCCAAACCACTGACTGTGTACTGGTATTATTTTAGCTACTGAAGGATAGGCCAGTAGCACTCAACTTTTCAGAGAGCCATTTCTAGGACAAAAGTTACATGAAAAGTACACAGTCATACTAGTATGAGCACCTGAGAAAGCACTTAATACAGTCCTTTGGGGCTGGGGAGATGGCTCAGTGGAATAAGCGCTTCCCTGGCAAGCGCCTGAGTTCAATCCCCGGTTCCGCAAAAAAAAAAAAAAAAAAAAAAAGACAGTCCTTTGAGGCAGGAAAATGCTATGCAAAATAATTGCTGGTACCTTTCAATAATTTAATTTATACCTATGTAATAAATGGACCACATCAAAGTTAATAAGAAACTGGGACACTGTCAGAGCTGATTTTTTTTTTTTTTTTTTGTGGAACTGGGGATTGAACTCAGACCCTTGAGCTTGCTAGGGAAGCACTTATTCCACTGAGCCATCTCCCCGGCCCCTCAGAGCTGATTTTGATAGCAGTGTATTTCACTGGAACCTGATTGGTTTTAGTCTCTATAGAAGGAGATTTATGATTAGGCAGGTTTATCTTGTCTTATAAATTCTTTCTTTGCGGTCTGGCCAGATAGCTCAGCGGACTAAAGTGTCTGCTCAGGCAGAGCACAGCAGCCAGGGTTCAATCCCTGGCACACTGTGCTGGACCTGCCCCCAGGGCACACTGAGACCAAGTTGGAGACTGGGCATGGTGGCATGTGCCTTTAATCCCAGTGCTAGGGAGGCTGAAAACAGGAGAATCACTATAAGTTTGATCTACATAGTGAGACCCTGTAGACCCTGAAGACCCTGTGCTAAATACATTAAAAAATTTTTTTCTTTGCAATATATTCTTGGGCCAGCTACTTACCTCAGTTTCTTCATTACTGAATCTGGATAATGAACCTACCTGCCTTGCAAGATTTCTGTAAAGCCACCAGAGGATTTTCAAGGTGTGATGATGGAAACAGAGGAGTACTACATAAAGGGTGGCTGTTCCTATTACTGCTATCACTGACTGCTATCACAGACGTCCAGGGTATCCTGTATTATAAATCACACCAGAGAGCCACCGCGCAAGGGCAGCAACCGCTGTTAGTTGGTTTGGTCACAGAACGAAGACACCAAGTTATTAGGCAGAAAAGCCAAGGAATGAGCAGAAAGGTCAGAGAAGAATCTGGGAGCTTCTTAGACATTTTCAGACATGAAGCTGATTAGCTGAGAAAGGCAACTGAAATTCACACGGACAGACTGATTCAGTCCATTGGTCCCAAGAGTGGCATTTAGATTTCAGTCAGAGATGTGTTTTGCCAAGTTATTCTGTCTCTAGAACCTCGCCCAGCTATGGATATTACCTTATTTCCCAGGAATTAAGGGCTGGATCCACTGGTTGGTGGAAGGGAACACATGCAAAGGACGGGGATATCGTGGACGATCCCCACTTCTGACTTGGGTCAGCTTTGAAAGAAGAAACAACAACCCCCTGTGAACAGTTATGTTTTCAGCTTTTGCAGATCGGTGGCTGCATTCCAGGAGGGTGGAGGAGACTGAGGACTCAGGCCCAGCCTCCACCCTCTGAATGAAGCCCAGAGGAAATACCAGCTGGACCACAGACAATTATACAACTCAGAATTACAAGAACACACTCATGGTTTTCAGCTGAATTTATTACTTTTAATTTATCAGAGACATTGCAATGAAACAAACAACCCCCTCTTTGACTGACGCGCATGTCTGCTTGCACCGCGCAGTGCAGCCAGCCCTCCCTGCGGAGCAGTTCCCCACACTGAGCAGCGAGGTGGCTCTGAAGGTGCCTACTTCAGTTCCTTTGTTTCTGGTAACTAACAGGTCACAACAAGCAGGGAAAATATTCCGTAGAGATTCCAGAGGTGGCGAATGACCTGCTTTTATTCACAAAGCAGCAGGGACTCTTTTACTTTCCTACTGTTTGTCACTACAGTTCAGTGACTCCAAGTCTACCTGTGTATTCCTTAAATTTTAAAGTTTAAAAAATTTTCACTCCACAACACACATGGATATGTCAAGCCTGTATTTCAGCAAAGCCTAATTTTTCCTCTGACGCACCTTTCCCCCTCCAAGTGCAGCTTCTACCTGTTCCAGACATGACCTATATTTATTTGTGTACTAAGAAAATATTTATATTTTTATTTGTATTCATGTTATTATCACACATGTACAACTCAACAACTTGCTGCTATTAAGCTATAGGAAATTCTAGGATAAATAGATTCACTTATTTATGGAGATGAAAAGATTCGGATACAAGCCCAGACAAGCAGCAGGGTCTAGACTACCTGACATACAGTAACAGCCACAGAATGTGGGGTATGTCACTTACCTGTGAACAAATCTTCCTCGCTCACAGGGCTGGTGCAAAATTGAATGGAGTAAATAATGTGTGTGCATGTGCTTTGAAAGCCGTGCAGCTTTACTTGTCCATACATAAACCATTATGCTTAACTATCTAGAAGTTATTAGACTGAAGCTATTAAATCGATCTTTTATAAACTTTAACTGCATTTTTACATCTGTAAGCTTCTGTATTTGATCCCCAGAGTGAATAAGCAATAGTCTTAACACATTCAAAGAATTAGAATGCATAAGTCACAAAAAGTTGCAAATCTATGATATTTTCAAATATTTAAAAATTCAGCCCTAGGCAGGCATGGTGTGCCCATCTCTATAATCCCAATGCAGGAGAGACTGTGGCAGGATAATCACCAGGAGTTTGAGGCCAAGCTGGGCTACATCACGAGTTGAAGACTACCCCCAACTACATAGCTAGATCCTGCCAAAAAAAAAAAAAAAAAATACCCTCAATCTCCTACATTTGGAATTATTTCATTAAGAAAACACTGTACAAATGATTTCAGTTTAAATTGCAATTCTGTTCAGCAAAATGTTCTCTGTGAAACAAGCATGAAAAGTTTACATTTTAAGTGCATTATAATAGAGGATTGTTTGAGATGTTTACAACTTGCCTTATTCTCTGAATTAAAGTGCAATATAGTAAAATTGATTATAGTTCATTTACAGGACATACTGATTTTTCTTATATGAAATAAAATTTTAAAAATGATCAATTGGTGAAGCTCTTCTTTTCTAAATTTTTAACTGATGAGTAGGATCATCAGTAACAGTATTGCTTTCACCCTAAATAAAGCTCCTCCATGTCTTTCTTTGGATTGCTTTGGGTGATAAATTATGTAGCCGCTCTTGTGATAGGGTGTATGGGGAATTCTGGGAGGGACTGATGGTCTAGAACCTTCTTTTCCTGTATTTGAAACACATTACCTCGCACTGTTTCCTATGTACAACTGGATACCTGATTTACACAGTTGAATAGGAAAAACAGGAAAGGATCCTGGGAAAGCCATGGCATACAGAAATGTACAAAGCATTGAGCAAAGCCATGATGCTCTTGGAGCATCGCTGTGAGCACAGTAATATAGACTGGGACAGGGTGAGATCTGGGAGCACGGTGTTTCCAAGGCCATCCACATCTGCAGAGGAAGGCGGTCGGATGGAGCACACACTGAACACCTTCCTCCTGCATGCCGAACAGAGGCCAGAGTCACAGTGCTCGGAACCAGTGAGCTCAGCTCCAAACCCTAAATCTGACTGCATGGACACAATTAATTAGAGGAATAAAGTGGATTTAAAAACACCTACTGAATAAATCAGAATGATGAGTCATATGGCAGTTTAAAGACCTGTTTTTTGTGTCCTAGTTTGTGCCAGTTTTTCTAAATAGAGAAAATTTGGTCTCTGGTTCACCACAAATATTAATTTTCATTCACAGGGAAAAATGAAGGAATGCAAGTTGTAAGAACTCTAAACATCCATTCTGTCAATGGGATGTACAGCAGAAGAAGCAGTGCCAGCAAAACCTCGTGACGCCCCAGACGGGGCTTCACTACACTAAACATTCTGGAGCATTCTCTTCTTCATCACAACAGCACAGGACCACGCAGCTCCAGTGTTCTCTATGGCCTGGGGCACGTATGAGGAAAAAGTTCAGGTTACAGACCTCTGATTTAGATACCAAAAATAGTAAGCTGGGACACTTTCAGGAGCTCATGGAGTGTATATTGCTGTCAATTCCTCTTTTTTTTCTTCCAAAATTCTGTTTGTTCTGGTTACACAAGTAATCTGTGTTCACTATAGGCAATGTGAGAAACAAACAAATCCAAGTGAGAAGTGTCACCACTGAAGGTAACGGGGCTGTCTTTCTTACTTAGTGCTTTCGTCATATGTCCTATCAATAACTCTACTGTGTGCCTTAAGTTTCTCTAAGACTTGTTGAGCATGTACCTAAACTTTGGTTACAGTTTGTTCAGAGGGCCCTAACTCGAGATCCCAGAAAATGAAGAGCATAATGAAGACTTTCCAGTAAGAAGAGACCAAAGGATTTGAGAATTATGGTTGAGGAGACCCCAGAGGCTCCTTCCTTACCTCAGCTACTGCAAGACGTGTTATACAGGGATGCCAGCTTCCCATGGTCACTGCGGTCATGGTACCACAAATGCAGACTCATAAAAACAGAAAGTTTAAAAACCAGCTCATATTCTGATAGGCAAAGCCCAAATCATGATACAAAGATACAACACGCATGGACACCCATGTAGTTTATAACCTAACAGAGGATATGAAACACATGAACAGGAACTACACAACTGCCACTGAAGCTACAGGTGAACCAGGTGAGCCAGGTGCCCAGCAGAGGAAGCGGCGTGAGACTAAGAAGTGGGCAGGAGGGGTAATTCCAGGCATCGGTGACCACAGACCTTTGGGGAACTCGGTGTAGCTGAGTGGCAGAGACAATGAGTATAAAAAAGTGTGTAGAGACAGGCCAGCTGAAGGTGTGAGCTAAAACACTCATAGCACGGAGGGGAAGCTCGTCTGCGCAGGCGCACTGAGGGAATGGCCTCTGCAGAGACCAGTCCTGTGCTTCCACTCCTGCCTTCCACCACATGGGACACAGAACAGCCTCTTGCCGAGAGAAGACTCGGCAAGAAGGTCCTCACGGGCACCGAATGCCAGCACCTGGATCCTGGACGTGAAGGGCTTCAGAACCGAGAGAACTAATTCTTTAAAGCTTGTGCAGTAACCAGTCTGTGACTTTGGGCTGTAGCGTTATGAATGGACCGACAGACAACACTAAGTACATGGTGAAAGGACACTGAATTTCATACATTCTATGACCAAAAGTTACTGCATTTATTTCTTCCTAGCCCACATGCATTACGCTACTCCTTACATCCTTGGTGGGACTGGAGAACAGGGCTTCAGTTTGATGTGGGCCTTCAATTTTTTTTCTAGTTCAATGAATAAGCCAGACAAGAAGTCCGTCAAATGGAAAGTGAAGTCATTAGGTGGGGCGAAGTGATGTCAAATCTCTGGGTGTTTTCTCTTTTAACCTTTTGGATGAGAGCTTCACTCCACTTGGCTGGCTGGCACAGGAAAAGCTTATAAAAGGGCATTTGTTAACAGCTCTGTGAATAATATATTCCCATTACCTGCTTATAGAAGGTTGAAAATACTATGTTTTATTAAACAAAATATTAAATTGATTCTTGCAAAATAATCAAAGAAGTTCTAGTTGTATATAACTTCTACACGACATAATGACTCTGACACTGAGAAAGTAAAAATTCCAAATTATGGCCTTTGGAAAAGTGTTATACGCAAGTCTGTGACAGGCAGGTGAGGGACGGTGTATTCTAACGCTGCACTATGCTTGAAGCCACTTGTCAGTTCAGAGCACTGCTAACTTTCAACCAGCTGTTCTGTGGTTCCTTAATTTATAAAGGATGTAAGAATGTGATGGTGCTTAGAATACACTCTATTTCAACATGCCTCTGTATTCTGTCAGAATGTCTTGGTTTACACGCAGTAACAAACGCCCTGACATCTCAGGGGCTTCCAACAGCAAAGGCTCCATCTCTCCATACTATGCCTACCACAAGTGGCCTGAGGCTCCACTCTCTGCTGTCCTCCTCCCTTGACCTAAGGTGACAAGGCAGCTACCCATCCTGCTGCCACTGAGGCAGAAGGAAAGAAAGCTCTCTGGCTCGGAAGTTACTTCTGTCACTTCTAATCGAGGTTTGCTGGCAAGAACTAGTCTAAGCCTCACTCTGCTACAGCTATGAAGGGAGCAAACTGGGAATATGGTGAACAGAACTAATAACTATCACAGTTACCCAAATATTTGTTCCATTATGGTTTCAGGTGTCTCTGTTTTCTCTGTCTTTCTGGGCTGTGCAGTCAGAGGCTGTGATTCAAAAGGCCTTCGAACAATTCTTTTGATTCACTACACATGAAGAGTAGAGCTCAACTGAACGTGTGATTTAAGAAATGAGTGTTTAGAACTTTTCTCCACCCCAAAATATATACACGTATACTATACTACCCTATATCTATACCTACCTACCTACATAGCTAGCTCTGCAATAATACTATAGTTGCTATGGACGGATAATACAATAAAATTATTCCAATGAGCTGAAAGCTTTGGAAGGAACCATGAGAGTACTGAGCCCGGTATAACCCACAAAAGACCTGAAAGCCTGAGTGGACTGCTTTTCCTGGCCATTCTGCCCCAGGCAGGCTGCAGAGCGGATAAGCTGCCTCCCGGGGCACCGCTGCGCATGCTCTTGCACGCACGCGTGCTGCACGCTGCTGTCCACCGGGGCTTGCACTGCTGAAGAGGAAACGCCCACCACGCAGTCTGCTCTCACTCTGAGGTCACAGCTATAAATCCCCGAGGCCTAGGACTCTGCAATTTTTATCTTCAGATCTGCTTTCTCTTGGGAACTCCAGACATTTATCTCAGTGTCTCTGCTTTGATGTCTGTTAAGGTTTGTTTTTTATTTTTGCAAATCCTTCTCATGTCTGCAGACGACGTCTTTCTCCAGATTCTCAAGCTAAATGATAGGCATCCTCTTGAGTGCGCACTCTCTTTATTCTCCCAAGTCAAGCCAAGGAGCAGGTCTTGGCAACTTTACTAGGAACCCTGAAGTCTTC